CCCCCCCCCCCCCCCCCCCGTCAGTCACTGGGGGCGTTTTGGGGAAAGTGGCTCCCGGCTCCCCAGCAATCCCTGTAGCAGCGTCCTCCTCAACTCAGCGGCACTGTGCAGCCCCGGTCAAACTGAGTTACTAAATGATTCCCACCGATGGTGCAGAATCTGTGGAAAAACACCAACAGCTATTTGGGCTGGAGCTGTCTTCCCAATACCGGTGCCTAGCAAGCTTGGGCTCCTGCCCACGGATGACAAGTGAAGCCTGTCAGCCAGGGAAGGTCTGGGTGCACAGCTCTCGCCATCAGCTACAAAAGCAGCAGCCTGCTCAAGTCCAGCTCTGACAGATGAACAAGAGAAGACATGGCGTTACCACCTCAGCCACCACGCAGCAGAGCCTCACATCCCCCCCCTACTTGGGGAAGGAAGAACTGGCCTAGATGCTGCAGAAAGACAGAGGACCTGGGACTTTGCCAAACATCACTTCTCTAGCGCTCTTCAGAAAGGAAAGGGAAAACTCGTGGTCCTTTAACATGAACACAGACTGTCCACAAAGAGAAAAGCACTTGTTAATTACAAAAGCAGCATATCACATGGTGTGAGCAGAAATAAATGCCCTTGCATGCTCGGGGGGGGAGGGGGGGAAAATCAAGGAAACATGGCTGGACTGGCTACGGGAACTCAGAACTGCCACATCCCACCTCAGTGATCCAGGTCACTTGTCTTTTTGGGGCATGTTAATAGAAATGCAATGAAACTTGCTCAAACTAAAATTCGAGGGGGCTGATTTGCTAGACTGTTGCTCGACTGAAATGTTACCTTAGACCACAAAGTATTGTGAATTCGTAATTGAAGAGCAAAGCTCTTTTTCAGAAAAGACAGGCCCCGACTAGCCCAGTGCTTTGTCTGGAGCAGTGGCAGTAGGAGATGCTATGAAGAAGGACAGGCGAATTTAGCCACCTTTTACAGTTCATTCCCCTCCTGCTCCTTTCCTCACAGCCAGAAGCGTTGTGTAAAGGTGGTAAGAGGGTACATCCCTTTTCATCAACCTGCTGTCCAAGAATTTGCCTAACCCCTTCTAGAACATCCTACCTGCCCCCACAACATCCCGTGGTAACCAGCTCCAAAGTTCACTTCCTGCTACGTGAAAAAATACGCACTCCCTGTAGGTGAGATCTGGTGAATAACAGTTCTGTGCTCACCTCACCCGTCACCTTCTCTGGAGACTTTCTGAGCTGCTTGTGTCAGCCTTCCCGCAGCCTACTCCCCCTTCAAGCCAGAGTCACAGCCTTCTCAGGCTCTCCTCATTAAGCATTTCCTCTGCATCCTCCATTGCTTTTGTAGCCTCTCCCTGCATGTTCTGTCACATCCTCTTTGAGATGCAGGGGCTATTTCAGAGCCACCACAAAGCTAAGCGTCATCGCTTTAAGACCTTTCTGCTCTAGTGTGCTTTCTGCCACAGAGACACCACAATTGCATTCTCCCTCCCACCTGTGCCAAGCATGCACAGTCATAGGATCAACCCCATTTCAAAGCACTGCAAGTCCAGTAGCTGAATTACTTCTCTATTCGTTACGCTGAAGCTATGGAGTCATTTCGAAGACATGTATTACAGGAATATGCAACAGCACTGCTTCCCGCAGAGGACAGCATCACATCTTAAGAGCCCACTTTCACACACAGCTCCCTAAACACGGTCATTTCCCAAAAGAGCACCGGAAAGCAATTAGCTGACACTGAGCAGCAAGGAGCAGTGGGCACGGCTGCCAGCGCCCATTTGCAGCGCCAACCAGACCTCCGAATGTGGGGTGCACAGATCTCTTTGTCGCCCCGCCTCATGCGATGCAAACACTGACGGGTAGTTGATTGACATCGCTGGTGCTGTCACACGTAAGGACAACAAAGAAAGGCTTTACAGCAGCGGGAAGCTGACTGACACCGTGTGCACAAAGCAGCACAGCAGCCAATACAGCCTGACAGTAACATGATCATTTGTCAACAAGCCTTTCTTCCTCCTCTCTGAAATCAAACATTTAGTAACATCAAGATGATCTTCTCGCGTTGAGGAACTGCTATTTCCTCTCCCCAGGCAGCAGCCTCAGACTGCCTCTCAGGAAGAGACAGCCGCAATTCAAAGACCCTTTTCTACCATTTTATAGTGTTCTCACACAGCAAGCTGAGTTGGCAGTTAGAGCTGAATACAACTTACCACTAGGAGAAAACTAAAACCAAAAACCAAAACCAAACCTGACAGGAGTGGAGTGAAGCAAACAAAGGATTTCTAACAGGATCAATTTAATCTTTTTCATCCCCTATTTTCAGCAGATTTTAGTAAATACTTTTTTCTTTTGGAGAAAAAACCTCTCCAGAACACCTGTGTGTAAGTGGAGCTAACTGTCACTGTGCAACAGAGCTCACACAAAGACAACTCCACACAACAAGGTCACAACAAGGTTACAGGAGGGAGAGGAGATGCACAGGCACCAGCTCCACGGGAACACAGAACTGCTTAGGACTGTCTTCGCATCGGCTTGATTCTCTACTTTTATCATCAGCAGGACATTAACAACTTCAGTCATGTTTCAAATGTCTCATTTCTATTTCACCCCTTAAGAATTAATTGACAGTTAGTGTTCCCTCCATAAAAGTTTTAATCAACTATTCATCTGTTCCCAGAAGTCCCCCAATTTGTACCTTTTTACTTACTTTACCAGCTACATCCTTACTGTATAGCTGGAATGACCTATTGATCACACTTGAGGGAAAATACACTTAGCTACTGAAATATTTTGTTTTCTAATTTGCATGCAAAGCTCTTGTTTCACTGAAGGATTTACAGCAGTATACATGCATGCTTATAGCAGGCCAAGAGCACCAATCTACAACTGAAGCAAAGATCATTTTAGTGTATTACTTCAGTGAGTACTTTTTAATATACACACACACACACACACGTGGCTTTTTTGAACTGTGCTGTGAACTGATGCTTACCAGGAAAGTGTGATGCTCTAAGTTTCTGGAACATGGGACAAGGATGCTTCCTTGAGATCCGAAGACACCAAAACTTGCAGTTTTTAGTGCTCCTTCTTTTGTTTTGTTTTACCTAACACATGAACCTGACCAGAGTTAGACATATACAAGGATAATATATTGAAGCAAACATTTGCAAGCAACCTGACAAAATAGGTACAGGCTCAAGAGTGAACTGGACTGCAGCACACTGGGATGACGACTCAGAGCTGCGCCCGTGACGCCTGCCTGGGAAGGCATGCTGTGCGGTTTCCTCTTGTAGGTGTTTCTCAAAAGTAAATTCTTGGTTTTAACACACCGAGATACCAAACTGTTTCAACACCCCAGCACGCAGCCAAATGTTAATTTATATATATCAGCACAAAACCAAAACCAATAGGGTCACTGGCAGCATCAGAATTATGCTTTTCCTAGAATAAAAGTGTGTTGCAAGAGAAGCAGTTATAATTTTGGCATTATTCTATTACTGGCTCACTGAAGCTACCTTTCTCCATTTTGTTAAGAAAAAAAGTACTACTGAATTTAGTTACACTGTAACAACATCTACAGCCAAAAAAATTTCAACAAAACTGCAGTTTAATTTCAGAAAATGTGTTAAAATATATATATTTATACATCAATTTGACACACTGCGTTAGTTTACACAAATGATGGTCTCTCTTGAAACTGTATTTATGAAATGTACATTTTTAATTTAAATACTCAGTATACACTGCACTTAATCTGCATGTTGCATTTATTAAATACATTAAAATCTGCAATGTAACAAAACGTTTTCTGCATACGAAATTCAAAACACCATTTTAAATGAACAAAAGATGGCTCACTTCATTTATTTTTTTTAAACAACTAGTGCATAGCACACTAGCTCAGCTCCACCAACACCAGCTGTTCTTTCTTTTTTATTTGACATTGTTCACAGACTATTACATATTACAATAAGAGTGCTGGATAAAAACATGAGGTACGAAAGTGGTTCAAAGATTATAGGTCATGCAGATCATGCTAGACAGCAAAGAAAGTTGTGAATGAGAAAACACTAAATAAAAATACATAAAGAATGTGCATTATAAAATAAAAAAAACTCAATTACACAGCTTTGCTTCTTTGGTTACAAAGTAGGTTGAACAATTTCACAGCTTTTTATTCCCACCCAAAAAAAAAAAAAATTATACGAAATGTCAAAAAGCAGAGGAATCATGGCAATTTCTCTCTATTAGAAAGTAGAAACAGAAATGAGCAAAGTTTTCTTCATCAAAATAGCCCATCAATTATTTATTATATCACAATAACTGGTGACTACCTGTACAGATGCACTATGGTCTTCATACTTACACTCTATACAAAATTTACATTCAAGCTGGATCTTTACTACCGTAAATAAATACCAAAGGTAAATTGCCATTAGTGTTAGAAATATGCCAGGATTCTTTTGTTCAATTATTGCCTAAACATTTTATCTATTTAACGCAATCCCATCTATCATTTTACTGATACATACATTTATTAAAAAAAATTTAAAAAGTTCTGTGACATTGTTCATGTACATTATGAAAATAGCAGCCCTGTAATAAATAAAACAAGTAAATGAAACTAATGTAGGCAAATGTTACTTATATTGAAAGAACAGTGGCTCTTAAGATGAATTGTTACTTCTTACCAGATAGCAAGGCTCAAAGTAATCCACGGGAAATGGAAACCTTGGAGAGCCACCAAAGCTCTTAAAGACCTCACTCCTGCACACCAAGCAAATGCATTCTTTGCATTAGTAACTCCTTCTACGATTTCCCTTGTGCACTGATGACATAACGGACACCAACTGCACTTCATGATATATCAGTGAGGGACAGCTCTTGTAGAATGATTGTCTAATACTGAAAAGGCCAAACACACAACAGAAGCATGGCTACTCGCTTTCATATAAAGTCGAAAGAACATCAGTGGCACACAAGGACAGACTGCTCTCAGGTTTTTGTTTTCAAAGGAGGCAAGAAAGCTTTACGCTGAGGAGACATTCGGCTGCTGTGGAGGTTGCGTTGGCTGCGGAGGCTGTGCTATCACTGTTTGCGCTTGTGAAGTGCTACTAGGATTGGCCTGTTGGGTTGAAAGTTGGGATAACTGATCATTGTTTGAAAGAGATTTTAACAGTGCATTTTCTCGTTCAAGTAAAGAGTTTCTTTCAACTAATTCTTTTATTTGTTCCTTCAGGACTTCCACTTCTTCTCTTACTGCATACATCAAATGGCTTTTCACTAGATCCTGTGAAGAACAAGTTAACAGTTACACCAAGTGAAAGAACAGTTTCATTCCACTCCAACCCCAGGATTTACTATTTTACTGCTTTCACTGAAGTAAGTGTTAAGCCTGGAAAACTAAAGCACTTGTCGCTAAAAATATATGAATAAATTAGCCTTCAAGAGCAAATAACCTAGCCCTTTTATTCACTGTAAAGTGGCCCTTACATCAAAAGCTTTGTTTCCAGCATTCAGCATTAAGTTCTAGTCACCTTGGTGATGCTGAAGACAAGGACTAGAATTACGTTCCAGCTACTCAAAATGAAAGCATCAGCTCTGAAGCTTTGACCTGGAGATAAGAGTCTGTGTTACACAATCCCAAGCACTGAGGTGTACGAGAACCAAGAAATAAGAAAGCCTTTAAATCAGCAGAAGCAAAAATTAAACAGATGTAACTGAAGCTGAACAAAATGTCAAGGATGGCATAGCGTAAGTGACAATTCAGAAAAACTAGTGATGAACTTCGCTAAAGTAAGAGACGAAGTAAGAGACTTAAATGCACTATTTATTTTCAGCACCCCTTTAAGTTCAATCAGCCTGTTCATAGAAATTCGTAGGAAAATTCATTTAAGAACATTTCTGGGCCAACAGTAAAGGCATGGTTTGTGTCATCCCATAGCTGATACAGAAAATCCTTTTTTCAAATGATAGTCTCAGTCTGACCCGACTGAAGGGTTACAGACTCACAGAAACACAATACAGCTAGAAACTTATGCTCAATGACGAACCACTAATCCTATTGGAAATAACTTTTTTTTTTACTTACCATTGCCTGTTCTATTTTGTTGTCAATGGCAACAACACTTGCACCAGATGCACTGCAAATAAAGGAAAAAAACTTTGTGAGCATTACTGTATCATTCAATTAAAACTATGCACCCATTGGCACCCGCAGGACTCCTAGAACATGCTTTCACTGGAAGGCTAAAGCTTCAGATTCAAGAATTCAGTACACAATCGTGGGGGATTTCCCCCCCGACTATATTGCCCAGTACAGTTAGAGCTCTTAAGAGACACTGCTCCTTCAGTTTATAATTCCTCAGACTATGCTTATGACACCCATAACCAGAAAAATGCATTATAATAAGCAGTAAATTAACTGCTTTGATTCCTTGCCTCATTTTTCAGCTTTCTTCACTGGGGAAAACAGGGATTCATGGGATATTCATGACGTCCTTACCTCTAGTTTTATTTCTGCTAAATTGCTTTTATAAAGCATTGAAGAAAAAAACCTGTTAGAATATTTGTTCTCTGGCTTTACTTGAAGACTCCTTTCCAGTTAAAGAGTTCCTGGATCAGCACTGTATTTACAACTTTGCCCGAATAGCAGTAGTCAATAGAAGAGTAAGACACAACCAAAGCCCTGAACTCTACGAGAGCACTTACTTGTTTCCAATGAATTCCCACTGGATCACGTTTAACATCTAAGAAATGCATGCAGTTGGCTGGTTACAGTTAGGGTCAGTCTTGTTCCAAAGACATAATAGTGCAGAACAGTGCAATAAAACAACTCAGTCACCACTATAAGAATGTGTATTTACTGTGCGGAACAATGTTGAACTACATCTTTAAATCCTGGGTCACAGCAATCCAGGCCTTAATATTTTTGGTCTGTTTTCAAGTCACAATACAGAAACACAAGCCAGTCACTCACTCGTAACTCTCTGGAGTTGGAATTTCAGGGGCCTGGGGGTGTCCCTGTTCTCTCGCAGACTCTAATCTCTCCATTTGGACAGGAGCTGTAGCTCTCCCCAGGAGGGAGGGGAGAGGGCACCCCGCACCACCGACTACAGCGGAGGAACACCCCCACAGCAGCTACAGAATGCTCCATCCACACACACGCTCTGTCGGTCCTGTACTCTCCATGTCGACCCTCCCATACTAGGTCTCAGTGGTCCGATTTTACTCCACAGCTCCGGGTCTGACATAAGACGGCAGTTCTTGGACTATTTACCAGGCCTGCCAGTGATAACTACTGATAATGCTCCCTAGCGATGGAAGTTGCTATCAGCAGCGTGCAGCTATGTTGAAAAAAGTTAACATACGGGAAAAATGCAAGGTTTGCAGTCATGCTTGGAAACTCGCCTCTCTGAAAATATGTAACACTCACTGAAACCAAGTGTTAAGAAAAAACTACTTAAGGCTTTTTAAAATGAGTATTGGCAATATGCTCAGCAGTATTAGTTACGTACATGAAACAAAGCTCAATTATTGAAAGAATATGACACTATTTAGAGAAATCCATTTTAACAAGTCTCACAAGAATTGTCCGTACCTAGCACCAAGCATTTACAAGTAGAGGGAATCAGCTTTTCAGACTGCGGGAGTAACAGCCTCTATTTCTAAACTGAACAAAGCTTGTAATCTAAAACAAAAGTGCTAAACACCCATTTCACAAGAAAATTGTGCCAGTGTCTTACTGTCTTCTAAGCCTCTTTCAAGCCATGTTCATGGTAAACCTCCTCAGAATAAAAAGTATTTATAATTCATGACAAGGTTAAGTATTCCTTTCCGTCTTGAATTAACGTGTTTCTGTTAAAAAAGTCTGTGTTCAAGAGTCATTGAAATCCCCAAGACTGCTCCATGTCCCTGATACAGCCTTTCATGAACATCACTCTAGAAGTCAGGTGAGGCAGCTCTAAAGAGATAAAGACAAGAGGAGCAAAATTAAAGCAAACAGCACGCTTTGTAGTGGGATCTGCTTCTGCACCTTTACAGTGTAATTATACACCTTTTGTCAATACTTTTCTAGTTGAATTTGAGATTGGGACTTTGTTGTTCTATTCCTGTTTCAACTATTTTGCAGTGTGATTATTTAAAAAAAAATAAAGTCCACTACACCACTCACAGTTAAGGCATTCGATCAGTTCCATGAAAAAGCCTCTCAAGTGGAAGACAGGCAGTCTTCCCCTTCATCACCTGAAACACTCGTACCTGCATGGCATACCGCAGAAGCACCTTTCCCATGCTGTACCTTGTGCTCCAAATTCTTGTCTGCCTTTTAAATGAGTGCAGTGTTCACAATGTGGGTATAAGAACTGTCCCTCCCCATTAGTGTGATTTGAATGGAGCCAGAGAAACTATCGCTCTCCCACCCATATTTTACACTTAAGTGATACTAGTAGACAGTTCTGAAAGCCATAAGTAGTTTACACACTACTTTTATTCGTTTCAATATTCTTGTTGCCCTTATCCCCAGAGCAGCTTGCGCTATTATCAAAGTACTAAGTCAGGATTCCAGACCTGCTCCCCGTACAAATCCCGGTGTCCATCCTGCTCATCTCCAGCAGGCAGAGCCCAGGACCACCGCCTGCCCACCCCAAGAGAAGTTCCACGCTGACAGAGCAGCCTTCAGTTAGTCAGATGCGGTCTTATCCTGATGACAATATTTCACTTCACTTTCTAAAGCACATGAGAATTAGATTTTATGCTAGCACAATTCCCGTATGATTCTGTCCTTTATTAATTTCATAGTGCTTCCCACAACAAAATATATCCTGTGAGACATTCAGAAGCAGAGTACTCCAGTGCCAGCTATTCTTATGGTACAGTCCAAATACGCTGCCAAATCTTAAGATTTTGGTTTTTTCTCAAATCCTTAGCTGTTGATATCAAATCCCAGTTTGTATAAAAATATTTTATCTCATGGCTGCAGAATGAAGTTTATAGACACAATCCAGTCCTCATGAAGAGGCCAGGAAAAAAAGAAAAAAATCTGTTAAATAAGTCTTTTTGGATGTCATAACTGGAAACAGTTTGATACGTTCCGTGAGTGCACCATCCACTGTATATCCAATGCCTCAACTTGCAAATTCTTGAGTTAGAAGTGGAAAGACGCTATTTAGCTCTTATAAAAAAAGACCAATTACTATGCTGTGCTTTTAGACAAAAGACAAAATTGATTACTCCAGGAACTACATAAGTCTGACAATTATTGTCAAAGCTGTAACACAAACAAAAATCCGCATCATGTAATGTAGGATGGTTGAAAGGGATGCATTAGGCATATAATTTTTTTTTTCCCCCTAACTGCAAGCTTCCCACCCCCCCCAAACTGAGTGTTTGCAGCCAAGTAGCTACCATACATACACACTGTAATTTAAGAGAACAACTCAGTTTGACCTGGACCTCCAAGTTAAGGTTACGTAAATGAAGGTTCTGACCAAAAAGAGGTTATATTGGTATACCAAGATCACTCTGAAGCCCATCAAGTGCAAGGCAAGACTTACAGTCAGCAAAAATGACAAAGATTACCAAGTACAGTTTGCCATTTCCGGAGATGGATGGTAAAACCAACATTTTTCTACCTTACACACTAAATAGGCAAAACCTATTTAGTCTGAGAAATCCTCATATTTTGATTGTTGAAAAAAATCCTAGTGGCTTAAATGTAATGTTTTCACATTTCACTTTGAAAGACCAAGGGGAAAACTAGATTTTGACTGCCAATAACACTGCTTAGCTATAGCTCACAATTAGGTATGCAGCGTTTGGAACAAAGCGTTTTATCAAATACTTACAGCTTGCACCTCGGAATTCTTTATGTTGTATTTTAGGTATATCTCTCCTATATGCCTAACAACTCAAGAATAGCACTGTAATTTTTTTGCTTCAAATGTCTTGCAAACAAAGTGAGAGAAGTGTCTTGGACAATCATGTACATACGGATTAAGAAAATGGGAAGAGAACTGGCTAGTCTAAGTGCAAGTCTGATTTCAAATGCATGTTACACAATATACAGCAAGCCCACTTTCCATAATGCATCGCATTCTTAAAAGCCTCGGTATAACTCTGACTTCATTGCTGCAAAAACTTTTCCTATGGAGAGGCATGGTATCCCAAGAGTATGGTAGGATATTATTGGAAAGGTGTTTCAGTATCATCAATAAGCTATAATATTGTTTAAAGAAGTGTTTGGTAGCCCTGTTAGCACAACACATACCATGTGTGTACAAATTCATTATATAATATCTGTATTTTCAGGGATCAAACAAGTGTTCTTTGTAAAGCATAATTTTGCAGTTCAAGAAAGCTTACTTACTATAGACTATTCCAAAACCTGAACAACACTGTTCACAGAATAGGAAAGCAAATAAAATAAATGACTAATGGAAAAGTTGAAGGTGAGTGGGTCAGAAGACAGCAAAAAAGGTTAATGTCTTAATGTTAACCCGTTAATGGCTGGAGGAAAATTCAACCTTCAACATCACCTCACACTCGTAGGCACCAAGATCTATTTCAATGGTGAATTCAACAAGCACCACTGTACTCAGCTTGGTGTTTTCACTATTAAAGTCTTTAGATATAACTATCATCCTTTTAAATGACATCCTCAACTTCAAAATTCACTCAAAATCTAGGTAGAAAGACTAGGAATCAAATTTCAAAATAAAGGCATTTGCAGCTTAATTCACTCTATAGGCTCAAAAAGAGAATGCAGTGGTTCATTTTTAGAAATTCCACAGTCCTCAGTAACGTGTGTATTTTACGCCAACGTTGGATGCATTAGGAATGAGAGTTATAAACAGCCCTACTTTGGCACTGTCAAGTACTCAACTAGTTAATAGCGTTTCACATTTAAATGAGACTGCAAATCCTACTGACTGGATGTTGTAAACTGATTTTGAAGCTTCAGGTTTTTTAGTCAGTAACAAAAAATATATTCCATATTCAGCTGTATCACTGATTATCTGCATAGTACTTTCCCAAGGAATTTCTTAGCAGCAAGTCACCCTCCAGAAGACTGCCAGAACGCATGAGTTTTCTTGCTTTTGATATTGCTTTTAAATTTTAGCATCAAGAGTTACTGTACTATTCA